AGTAGCTGGGATTACAGGCACATGCCACCACGCCCAGCTAATTTTTTTGTATTTTTAGTAGAGGCGGGGTTTCACCATGTTGGTTAGGCTGGTGTTAAACTCTTAACCTCATGATCTGCCCGCCTCAGCCTCCTAAAGTGCTGGGATTCAAGATGTGAGCCACTGCCCTCGGCTTCACCTGGCTAATTTTTGTATTTTTAGTAGCGATGAGGTTTTGCCATGTTGCCGGGCTGGTCTCAAACTCCTGGCCTCAAGTGATCCGCCAGCCTTGGCCTCCCAAAGTGTTGGGATTGGCCAGCCAAGAAATCATCTTTTCAATGGAAACAATCACAAATGTGTTGCCTCCTCCCCAAGTCTGTTGAAAAAGGAGTACATGGGAGTCCCAGTCACTAAACTGACTTCCCTCGGCAACTCTGGGCAAAGTGCTCAGTCTCTCTGGTTTTGGTGCATCTGTAGAACAAACATGGCCATCAGGTGACATTCTGTGATGCTGGACCCTTGATCTACAAGGCATAAAATGCTGTACATGGGTAACAGGCTGATTTTCATTGAGAGGGGCAGGGATGTGGGCAGTGGCATTGATAGGAGGGAATTCCCCCCCATACCCTCCACCCCAGGTGAACCTGCCGCTGCTCACCCTGAGCCAGCCCCTGCTGTTGGGAATCGCCCGAAACGAGACCAGTGCTGGCCGAGCGAGTGCCGAGTTCTATGTCCAGTGAGTGGGCTCGGGTGCTTGATCCTGGGTCTTGGGGAGGTGGGTGGTGAGGAATGGGCTGAGGCAGCTGTGACTCCACAGGGACCCCGCAGGGGCTGGTCACCCACTAAGCCATCCGTGTGTTCTTGTCCAGGTGCAGCCTGACTTCTGAGCAGGTGAGGAAGCACTACCTGAGTGGAGGTCCCGAGGCCCACGAGTCTACAGGAATCATCTTTGTGGAGACACAGGTGCAGAATGACAAACCGTCTTGCTTGGAGGCCAGGGCTGGGGTCTGCAAAGAGACCTGGCAGTGCTTGTCTTGTGGGGAAGGTGTCGGCTGGGTCACAGTTCCCTCCAGAGTCACAAGATTTGCCCTCAGTGCAAGGGAAAGGTCTAGGGACCTGTTCAGCCCCTTAACATGCCTCCCTAGGGACAGTGCAGAGGTCTCTGAGGCTCAGGAATTCCAGGCACAGCCCTGGCAGGAGATGTGACAAGGCCTGAATGCCTGTGTCTGGCTGTCTCCCCACAGAACGTGCGGAGATTGCAGGAGACGGAAATGTGGGCTGAGCTCTGTCCCTCGGCCAAAGGCGCCATTCTCCTCTACAACCGGGTTCAGGGAAGTCCCACCGGAGCAGCCCTAAGGTCCCCAGCCCTACTCCCACCATTCTGAAGACAATAAAGGACTTCATTTTATTGGCATCTGCTGTTTCTGTGATAGAGAGGAGCAATGGGACCTGAGTGTGTAAGGCAGGACACGTGACTTGGGGGTGGGGAAAAAACCTGCCAGCCTCAGTGTCCCCCTCTGCAAGCAGGGGATGAGGACTGTGCCTCCCTTTGCTGGCTCCAGTGAGGCTCCGGGGCAGAAGCAGCTCTATGAGATATGCCTCGCTGCAGAGCGGAGCAGCAGCGTAACAGAGAGACGGTGGCAGGGCCGAAAGCCTCACAAAGACTCAGAGAGTGGGCTCCGTCCCTGTTGCTCCTGTCCAGCGCCGGCGCCTGTCCAGCGAGTCCGCAGGCGGGAGGGCCGGAGGCACCAAAAGCCAATAGACGCGTAGGGGCGGGGTCTCAACCACATTTTTCGGCCCGCTGGGCGTGGCCTTAGCAACCAAGCCAATGAGAGTGCGAGGGCGGGGCCTGAATAGACGCAGGAAATGGCGACGGCCGTGGGGGTCTGTGCTCGATGGGGGCGGGGCCTGGTTGTGGCCCCTCCTTCGCCCGGCCTCAAGCTCCCTGGGTGGGAACGGGGTCTCCAAGTCCCGGGCTGGTTGTCCAGACCCCGAAGTCAGCGCGGGGAAGGGCCGCGGATGCTCCAGTCAGAGGAAGGGGCAGGTCCAGGACACGCGGGTCTGGTCCTGGGCAAGAACCGCCCCCTCCCCGGGCCTGCTTCAGTCTTCCTTCGCAGAAACACCGGGCCAGGCCCCTTCCCTCTTCCCCGGGTGCTTGAAGTCTAGCCCCATCCTGGTCCCAATGCGCTCTTGGTGGCCTTCTTTCCCAGCTGCCCTCCCGCCGCCATGCCGCCCCTACTGCCCCTGCGCCTGTGCCGGCTGTGGCCCCACAGCCCTCCCTCCCGGCTCCTCGGAACGGCTGCCGGGCAGCGGTGAGTTGGGCGCGGGGGGCCGTCCTGGTTGTTCAATGGGTTACTGTTTGCCCTATGTGCTGAGATATTTGTGGTCTCTACTGCGTGTCAGGAGGTTCCCAGGTTTGTCTCAGGTAACCCTCACCTTCCCTGTTGAGGATCGGAGATAAAGACCCCCAAGGTCATACACCGATTTAAGCAGCAGAGGAGGAATTTGAGTCCAGGTCACACCCAACCCTCTTACCCCAGCTCTGTGTGTGTGTGGTTTTAAAGCATCACTGTGCATAGCCCTCTGTGGGGGATGGGAGGCGTGGGGGGGGTGTTGACTACAAAATGCAGATTCCTGGGCTCTGCTCTCGAGATTCTGAACTGAAGGAATCAATTGGGTGGGGCTTAGGAATCAGTTTTTTCCAACGTTTTTGGACTCCACTTTGAGAGATCCTGACCTGTATTATGCCTGAAACCCTCCAAAGGGAGGGCTGATCTAGAGACGGATGGGTCCTGGGACCTGTATCAGCCTCTCAGCTCCCGGAGGCTAAATTAAAGGGTGTGGCCCAGGGAGGGGCTGGTAAGGGCAGGGCGGAGCTATCTTTTGGGTTTCCTCAGCCCCTGCAGGTTTGGGACTCTCTCCACAGGTCCAGGCCCAGGAATTATTATGACGTGCTGGGGGTACATCCTGGTGCCAGCACTGAGGAAGTTAAACGAGCTTTCTTTGCCAAGTCCAAAGAGGTAACAGTGCCCCTAATGTGGGGATGGGGAGCAGGAACAGCCAGTGGGGGCATGCTTCAAGTTCCCAGGAGTAGACCTGCATCTCTGGCTGGTGGCATGTTCTTTCAGCCCTCAAAGGGACTGGCAGGTGCTCAAGGGCAGGGGAAAGGCTATGGGCAGGAGCCAGGGGTTGTCTGATGGGCTGGGCTTGGTTTTCTTGACCTACCTCTTCTTGAGAAACCTGGAACGGGGCATATGGTAAATGCAGGGGGCTGGCAGGTAGGGAGGGCTTGAACACAGGAGGGGGCAAAAAGTCCGTGGCTCTCTGGCCTTCTGAGGAGTAGGGAGGCCAGAGTGAGGGTCACTGACTATGTGGGGCCTCTGGGCATGACTGGAGCCCTGGTGTGTGGATGTCATCAGCATGGGTCCTGGGGAGGGACAGGCAAAGGGAGATAAGGGGAGTCCTGCCCCACCCCAGCTGCACCCGGACCGGGACCCTGGAAACCCAGCCCTGCACAACCGCTTTGTGGAGCTGAGCGAGGCATACCACGTGCTCAGCCATGAGCAGAGCCGCCGCAGCTATGATGACCAGCTCCGCTCACCTAGCCCCCCAGAGTCTCCAGGAACCACAGCCCATGACAAGTCTACCTGCCAAACACACAGGTACAGTAGTCCTGCCCTCAGCTCGCCCCACCCCAGGTTGCTTGGGGAGCCTCATTTCCACAGTGTCCTTTCCTCTGCCTCCTAGCAGCTCCCGGGAGCACCCCAATGCACAGTACTGGTCCCAGTTTCACCATGTGAGGCCACAGGGGCCCCAGTCTAGGCAGCAGCAACACAAATGCAACCAGCAAGTGCTGAGGTACTGCCTCCTGCTCATGCTGGTCGGCATGGGCCTGCACTATGTCATCTTCAGGTAACGCCTTTTCTCCCTGGGAGAAATGGGCAGAGGGCAGGAGGGTGGGTGAATTCCAGTGTGGTCAGCCAGCCCTGCACAGCACCTCACGGCACATACTCTTGTGTCTCTCAAACTGAGAGTTGCTTGAAATCGGTCTCTGGAGCCTTTCCTTACTTAGTGAAGACAGCGCTGCACTAAGAGCTAACGTTGTCACTTACAGCTTTTCATATTTCAAATGTAAATCTTTCATGCTGGCTGCCAGGGAGGGACTGAGCCAAACAAAATCAAGTACAAGCAGCAAATGCAGCACAGCTTTCATTTGGCAGTCCGCATCTCTCTGCCACTCTTACACGTGCCATGAAGCTGATTTTCTTTTTTCTTCCTTTTTTATTTTTTATTTTTCTCAGACGAAGTCTCACTCTGTCGCCCAGGCTGGAGTGCAGTGGCGCAATCTTGGCTCACTGCAACCTCATCTCTGCCTCCTGGGTTCAAGCAATTCTTCTCTCTCAGCCTCCCCAGTAGCTGGGACTACAGGTGCACACTACCATGCCCAGCTAATTTATTTGTATTTTTAGTGGAGACAGGGTTTACCATGTTGGTCAGGCTGGTCTTGAACTCCTGACCTCAGGTGATCCACCCACCTCCACTTCCCAAAGTGCTGGGATTACAGGCATGAGCCACCGAGCCGGGCCACGAAGCTGATTTTCTAAAGCAGATACCTAAAGGTCAGTGCCTACTGCTAGTAGCCTGCCTAGTTCAGTGATGGAGTTAGATGCACACCCTTTCTAGTCTTCTGGGAGGAGCACCCCATGTTCATAGCTGCCGTCACACCTCGAAGGGCAGCCAGGGCCTTTGGATGCCATTGGACCCTAGACAGGCCAGGGCCACTCTGAGCTCTCCCCACCTATCATAAGCAGTGTCAGGCTGAGGTCCCTAAACCCTGTGAGGGTTAAAGAGCCGTGAGGCCCCTAGAGTGGGGTGGAAGAAGGCAGGACTTGAGGGACAGCAGGAATTGGAGTCCCAGAGTTAACTGTGACCCATTGCAGGATGGTAGAGCAGATGCACCTTAACTTCATGGATGAAAAGGATCGGATCATCACCGCCATGTACAACGACGCGCGGGCGCGGGCCAGGTCTGTCCCTGCTCTATTCTGCCCCCCTGCTCCCTGTCCTGGCACTACCCTTGGGGGTCCCTGTCCCAACCACCCAGGTGCCCTCTCCTCCAGGGCCAACAGAGCCAGCCTCCAGCAGAAGCAACAATGGCAGAAGCAGCAGCAGCCACCACCACCAGGGCCAACCCAAGGACCCGAGATCGTGCCCCCAGGCGCTGACCCCTAAGGGGCTCACCTGGTTGGGGGTCTGCTGTGCGCTCCATCTTGCTTCCTTCCCAGGACGGCCAGCTCCCCAAAACGCGCACAATAAAGTGATTGCAGAGCTCGTGTCCGGCTCCCTCTTTTAGGCCCAGCGCCCCCAGTCCCAGCCTCGCCAAGGGGCAGCGCTCCGCCCTCCAGGTTCTAGCGGCGGGCGACCGGGGAGCCCGGCCCCCTGGGCGGCGCGTCCCCTTTCCCCTGCAGCGGCGGGAGGCGGGAGGGGGTGTGTGGAGGGGGCGGGCCCCGCCGGCGGCCTCGCCCCCCCCCACCGCCCCGCCCCCGCCCCACGGCCCGGTGGGGAGCGCGTGTCTGGGTCACATGAGCCGCCCGCCCGCCAGCCCCGGCCCGGCCCCCCGTCGCCCCCGCCGTCCCTGCCGCCACAGCCAGCCGCCACCGGTCGCCCGCCTGCCCGGCTCCTCCTGCCGCCGCTGCGCTGCGCTGCGCTGCCTGAAACCAGGGCTCAGGAGGGGGCAGTGGAGGAGCCGCCCCCTGCGCCCGGCCCCCACCCGCCGCGTCCGGGCCCAAGCCATGGGGCTCTGGCTACCGCCGCCCCCGGCGCCACCGGGCTAGGGCGATGCGGGCGCCCCCGGCGGGCGGCCCCTGCGGGCACCATGAGCCCCCTGCTCCGCCGCCTGCTGCTCGCCGCGCTCCTGCAGCTGGCCCCCGCCCAGGTACGTGCAGCCCGACAGCGCGCCAGCCCGCCTTGCCCTCTCTCAAGGTTGGCGGAAGTGAGGAGGCGACCCGCGGCCTCCGCCCAGGGGATCTGCGGGGTACGGCCTTGAACGCGGACGTCTCGGGGGCCCAACGCGTGCATCCCCTGAGAGGTGCCCCTCCCCGCCAGCCCGCCAGCCCTAGCCTGGGGCCACTCCTCTGCCCCACCCCGTCCCCTGGGCGCCGCCGGGGGCGGGGCTGCCTCGGTGCCCGCTGGACTTAGTGCGCGCTCCTGATCTGTATGCAGCCCCTAGACATGCTCGGCTCCGCGGCCTGGAGATTTGATGCGGCCACCGGGGCACCTGTTGGGTTTTGGGCCAGGGTAGGTCCAGGATGGCCAAGAGAGGACAGATAAAGCTAGAGCAGTGGCCACAGGAACAGAGCAATCTGGAAAGATGGCAGAGAGGTGGTGAAGCCTCCTGATGCAAGGGCAAAATCC